TCTGTATTTGTTATTATATATTAGCTATTAGTTTAAAACTAAAATAAAAATAAAAAAACTAAAAAAAATTAAATTTACTTTAATTGTATTATTATTTATAGTTTATTTTTTTTAATTATTTTTTTTTTGGGTTTTTTGGGAAAATCAGTGAATCTGATGTGAAAAAATGTGTTGAGATCTCATTGCTCCAAATTGAGGAACTATTGCTATTCTATTTACAAAAATGAAAAAGCATTATATAATTATAAATATATAAATTGTGTGTGTGTGTGTGGGTTGTATAAGAGTGTGTTGAGCTTCTTTAAAGAGATTCCTCTTTTTTAACTTTTAATATGTTGGGTTGGTTTTTCATTCGGAAAATAGGTATGATGATGATGATGATGATGATATACAGGGTGATGCAAATCACATGCTATTTCATCAAGTACGATATCAAATATTCATTTGCATTCGATGTCTGCGCTAATTTCCAATAATACATTTGAATATAGATATGAATGAAAGAACAAGCAAACAAACAACCATTATAATAATGTGGGGTTGTAGTTCTTGGTCGTTTGTTTTTATTGTTGTTTTGTGTCAAGTCGCCTCGATTATCACATCAATTAATAGATTCGAAATAATAACAACAATAAAAAAACATACACATTTACAACACACAATGTATACAATTATATTATTTACACTTTAGTTTAGTTGACGGGTGTTGTTTGTGTAATAGGGTGTTTATAAAAGGAAAAAAAAACAAATATTAAAAGTACTAATGAAATAAAGTATCTAGATGTCTAAATAAATCGTATTTCGATTTTGAGCTGTTGTTGCTATTGTTATTGTTCGTTGTGTATAAATATATTGCAAAATTTAAATAAAAATAAAAAAACCTAATAATTATTATTATTATTGATTAGACAAAAAAAACACTATGTTTTTAAAAACAAACCATTTTAGGTCTAATATATATCCTATTATATTACTTTGGTAATAAACTAACACTGGTGGTAAAGATGATTTTGTAGATTATTATTTTAATGATAATGATGTGACAACAATGAAAATATTGATGTGCATCATTGTGGTAGAGTACTATTCATTCTACAAAAGACATTGCAATACACACAAAAGGAAACAAAAACCAATCCAAACTAAATTGAACTAAAATTCAAAAACGAAGTTGTTCTTCTTTATCTACTAACTAGTTATCAAATATATTGCTATCAGATTTGAATGAAATTTATTATTATTATCCTATTTTATAAAATATATCTATCTATTAAATTTATTTTGTGTTTTTTTTTAACATGATTATATTTTTATTTTATTTTTGTTTGTTTTTAACTAAAAAATAAAGTTTATATTACTTTTATTTATTTGTTGATTCGGATTGTGATGTGATTTGTTTTATTTGTTTTGAGTTGTATATAAAGTAGTAATATTTGTTTAATAAAAAAAGTATTTAATACCTACAAATTTAAAATATATCTACAATTACTCTTGAATAACTATTTTATGCTGATCTAATTGATCGAATACTAAAAAAAACTTTAAATTATTACAATGATAATTCTTTTTATTATTGATATGATGGTTGAAAAAATAATTTGATTTCTTTTTTGTTTTTTTTTCTTTTGTTTCTCAAACACCCTCCGAATATTCACAAAAAAAAAAAAAAAAATTAAAATCAAAATACTCACCCCCAATCATTAAAGTGATCGAAATTTGATGATTAAAAAAATAACAAAAAAAAAAACAATTAAAACCTGTGAGCCAAAAAATTTTTTTTAAAATTAAAAACTGGTGTTTGAAAAAAAATTTTGCACAGTCATCTTTTATCCACTTCACCAGCACAAAGAGAATCTAGAGGTCCTTGATATGTTTTGTTTTTGGTGTGTCGAATATATTTTTTAGATATTATATATAACCAAAATAAAAAAAAATGGTTTTTGTTTTTAATAAATAAATAAATTATATCATGATATAATTAATTTGTCGAGTTATTATTTGTTTAAATAATTCACTAAAAATAGTTTATTTTGAATTTTATTGTGTTTTAAGTATTTTTTTTTTAAAAAATATTTATATTAGCCATGTCAGGATGGATGTATTGCTTGAAAAATATTATTATTATTGTTGTTCTTATCATTATTGTTGTTGATTGGGGGTGGAGTTGCTGTTTTATCAATATTCATTGGTTGTGTTGTTTGTAATGCTGCTGCTGCTGCTGCGGCTTGTTGTTGTTGTTGTTGTTGTTGTTGTTGAAGCTGCTGCAGTTGTTGGAACTGTTGAAACTGTTGGAATTGTTGGAATTGTGAGAGTTCGATCGGTGTCTGTAAGAGTTGTTGTTGCTGTGGTGTCAATGCTTGGAAATTAAAGTTATTGAAATTTGGGTTGACAATATTGGGAGTTGGAAGTGCTGGCTGGAGCTGCTTCTGTGGCTCTGCAGTGTGAGGTGGTCCCACATATGGAGGACTGAGTCCATGAGCGAGAGCCTCTTTCTTGGCAGCCTGGAACTCTGCGATCATCGATTCCATAATTGGCAAAATCTCTGGAAACGAGGGACGATTGGCGGGATCGGTGTCCCAACAACGGTTGAGCAATGCGGCGTAGGCTGGTGGACACCAGCTTGGCACGGATAGACGTTCGCCACGGTCGATCGAACGCACCACTTGCATTGTGTTCTTTCCGGCGTAGGGAATCTGACGGGTGAGTAGCTCCCAGAGCACGATGGCAAACGAGTAGACATCGGCCTTCTCAGTGTATCCTTCCTCGGCAAGAACCTCAGGTGCTACCCATCCGGTAGTTCCGCACATTGTCTTGGCAAAGGTGTGTGATTTAACGGTGGCCAAACCAAAGTCGGCCACTTTTACCTGCCAGCTGTCGTCGACCAACAGGTTGTCGGTCTTGAGATCACGATGAATGATGACAGGATTTCTGGAATGCAAATGAGTCATTCCACGTGCACAGTCGAATCCCAGCTGCAAACGAAGTCCCCAATCCATTTGTATTGTTTCATCGAGCAATATATTTGCCAAGCTACCTCTTGAGAGATACTCTGTCACAATACAGGGAGATTCTGGTTCAGTACAGGCTCCCATGAATAAAACAATGTTTGGGTGTCTAAGTTTACAGAGAAGATCGACCTCTTTTCGCAAGTCACTCAGTAGTTTTGGATTGAGATTGTCATTGAATAACATCTTGACGGCAACCTCTGTACCTCTCCAGCTGCCTCGAAACACTTGACCGTATCCACCACGACCAATACGCATTCCAAGAACAATCTCGGAAAGTGGAACCTCCCACTCAAATGGTTTTTCAGTTGGTGGTGGTTGTTCTTTTTTGATTGCGACCGGAACGGCGAACGGTTGGTGGTGAATAGCTGCTGTTGGTGAGTTTACATTTTGTTGATCGTTGTTGGCTGGTGCTTGCTGATTGGGTGATGGTGTTTGAATGGTGGGTGGTGTATTTATAGTTGGTGTGTTATGCTGGTGTTGTCCAGCGGCTGCGGCTGGTGTCTGGTGATGTTGTTGAGTTGGTGAGAGTAATGAAATCTGGCTGATTGCGTTTGCTACGTTGGCACTGGTGAGTACTGGCGAAACGCTTGTGGGTGGTGTATTAATGGGTGGCGATGCGATATTGTCCCAAAGCTGGGGTTGATTCGACAGTAGAATCTGTGGAAGTGGAATTGAAGGTTGAAGTTGGTGGAGCTGATGTAGGACGGCAGCTTCCTCCTCAAATTTGGTGGCTTTGGCGTTGGCCAGGACGAGCTCTTCCTTGAGCTGTCGCAGTTGTGCCTCTGCTTCAATGTGTTGCTTCTTGATCTCGTTGAGATTCTCCTTCTTTCGCTTCTTGTTGTCGATTGCATTCTGAGCGAATGCTTGAGCTACTGCTATTGTTTGTTCGGCGTTGATCGATGCTGGCGGTGAGTTCTTGTTGAGTTTATCGGTCGGACGTTTAGTGGTTGGTTTGTAGTTTTTGAGGAATGTGAGAATATCCAGTGGTGACTTTTTCAGGATGCTCTTTGGCAGCGGAAGACGATTGCCTTCCAACCAGAGAACCTGTAGTTGATTGGCTTCTAGCATGTTGGAAGGCAGTGTCGAGAGTTGGTTGTAACGGAGACGCAACTCCACCAGAGTGGTCATCTTGTTGAGATTGCACTGTGAGGGTATGTCGGTGATTTGGTTGAAACTGAGATCGAGGATTCGCAGACTGGGCAGGTTGCGAATGTCTTTGGGAATCACCTTGATGTTGTTGTTGTTGAGATAGAGTGTTGTGAGACGAGTCAGTGAGAATAACTCTTTTGGTAGTACAGAGAGTTGGTTGTGGTTCAGACGTAGACGCTTGAGGTGGACGAGTGACCCTATAGACTTGGACACCTTCTTGAGGTGGTTTGCCGAGAGGTCGAGGTCGCGCAGCTCACTGAGCGACCACACATCGGTTGGGATCGTCTTGAGCCAGCAGTTGCTGAGTGTCAGCTTTGGCGCCTTGTTATTGGCACACGTTGTGATTCTCAGAGGAATGTCGTCGTCTTCGTCGTCTTCATCGTCCTCTGCGACGTTGTCGTGTGTTGGTGTAGCGTTTGCGTGCTCGAGGTTCTTGTCCAAGTCGTCGGTCGGTGTTTTCTGGTCGTGGTGATCGTCTTCGTGATCGTGATGATCGTCCTTCTCATCGCTATACTTGTGTTCGTGTTCGTCGTCGGTGCTGTGATGTTCTTCCTCCTCCTCTTCGTGTTTGCTACCGCGACGATCTCGAATGGAACCACCAGAGCGAACTGGACTGTTACCACGAGACAATGGATCGTCGAGCATATTGCCACTGTCGTCGTCTGTGTTGTTGGTACTGTTGTTTCTCGTGTGATTATCGTATGACTCATCGTCAGTATTGTTATTGCTATTACTATTGTGCTTACTGCTGGTTGCGCTATGTTCATCGTCTGCGTGCAGTAAAGGAGAGTGGTGATCTTCGTGGTGATCCTCATGGTGATGTTGTGGTGATCGATCATCTATAATATGATGTGACTTGTGCAACAACAAATCGTAATTCTCTCCTTCTTCGCCATCGCCATACTTGTACTGATACTGCATCATACTATCATCTGTCTCATCATGCAACATCTTATCACGCTCCAATCTCTCTCTTGTAATCTCTTCATTCTCTGCCAAATTATCATTATTATTATTATTGTTATTATTGTTGTTATTGTTATTGTTATTATTCAAATCATTGGCAATATTAATATTACCATGACTTCCATTTAAATCGATATTGTTATTATTATTACTATTGTTGTTGTTGTTATTATTATTGTTATTATTATTGTTATTATTTTGTATTCCTATCCATTCTCTTCTGTTAATTGGTGATTTAATATTACCTAAAAGTGTTAAAAGAAAAGATAATATTACAAGTTAGTCAATCACGATTGAAAGAAGAACAAAAGAGTTTAAAACGAAATGACATCACTTACCAAGTGAAGGTCTTTTCAATTGGTGATGAGGTATGTGATCATCTTGAATTTGTTGATCGATTTCCTGTTCTTCTTGTATGTCTAACTTTCTCTTTCCGCCGGTTATCTGAGACTCCAACAAAGGTATGCTATTCCCGGTGGGCTTCTCTTCCTCTGTTCGGTCGTCTTCCTCCATGCTGCTGCTGCTGCTTTTACCACTCTTGGTATTTTGTTTTCCATTTACTAAAATAGAAACACCTGTACTACTATTATTGTTATTGCTGCTACTACCACCGTTGCTGATGGTATTACTATTGTTTCGGTTTTGTGAACAACCGTTGTTGCTATTGTTATTGCTGTTGTTGTTGTTGCTATTGTTATTGTTGTTATTGTTATTTGTAGTTAAAGTCTCTTCCATCAAGTATCACTACCTTTATTATGGTAGCCTTGTATATTGCAACAAGGTAATGTTAATAGCTGCAACACTGGCAGTTGACGAGATATCAATCCAATCGTATACAAAAATATGTATATATAAAAAACGATATTAAACTATTTTTGTTTTTTTTTTTTTGTTTTTGCAATTATTATTATTATTACTACTACAATTTTGTTTGTAAATTATTAAACTAACTATTTCAATTTCGGGATCAACTTATTTATTCTATCTATTTATCTATCTTTTATACTACTCCAAACTATAGTAACATTAAAATAATTAAAAAAGTTAATATAAAATAACTTTAACCATTTATAATTTTTCTGACTTTTATTATTATTATTATTATTATCGTTATTATTTTATTTGTAATAGATAGAAAAACAAAGAAAGATAAAAAGATATACACACTTTTTGATTATTTTATCTTTATCTATTGTGATGTTATAGTTATATTATATAGAAGTATGTATGTTTGTTTGTATGTATCTCTTATTTTTTTATTTATTTTCGAAAAAAAAAATTAAAAATAAAGAAAAAAAAAAAAAAAAACAAAAAGTCGAGTAATCTATCTGATAATACAAACTGTGTAAATATATGTTGTTTGTTGACCACTAAATGAACTACTCTCTGTTATTGTTATTAGTTATTAGATTGTAATATTATTGTTGTTATTAAAGTTATGTAGTATTGTTTTGTTATTTTTGTTTATGAAAAATCTCTTTTTTTTTTTATGTGACATAAAAATATTTTTGAAAAAAAGTTAATTTTTTTTTTTTTTTTTGTTTTGGCAAAAATAGCTGGGGTTTGAATGAGAAAAAAACAAAAACCAATAAAAAACCTGCCTGTTTCGACGTGCTATCAGTCAACATTTGTTTTGTTTTGTTTTCTTTTACTTTGCGAGGTTGTGAACCATCGGCATTGCAATGTTTTTTTTTTCACAACTTTAATTTGTCAAAATGTCAATTTGATTTGAATGCTCTGCTTGTTGATTGTTGTAATGTAAGATTAAGTGTTGTAGTGAAATAAATTGCTTACCTTTTTTAAATACTCCTTTTTGTTATTTTCTTTCTCTTCTTCTTCTTATTCTTCTGAATCCATTAAATTGGCTAAGTATTTAAAAGTATAGACTTATTATTGTTAAATATATGTTAATTATAAGATTTGAAATGATGACTACTACACTGCTTATTATTATTATTATTATTAATTTCTTTTATTTGATTAATATTGATTTAATAAAACAGCTAAACTACTATTAATTAACAAAATAGTAAAATAAATAAAAATAACAAAATAAGAGATTGAATTGATAAAATAGATAGATAGTTTAATAAAATAAAAGTTGATAAATATTTGTGATATTATTCGTTTGAGTAGTATTATTATTATTATACTATTATTTTTTTTTTTCTTATGGTTTATTACAAAATGTTCACAACAGGCTATTAATAAATATGAATAATGTACAGCAGCTGTTCTATAAGTGGAGACTATTGTTGTTGTTGTTCGTTTGGTTTGTTTGTGGTGTGGTGGTGGTGATTTGAGTGTTGGTGTGAATCAACCACCACTGATCAATGTATTTTTTGATTGTTTGTGAAACCAATATCTATAAAATAATAAAAATGATTTGAATTTGATTCAATTTAATTCAAATACTGGCGTATGACTCGAGTAGATAAATAACAATAAATTTAGGGTTATATTTCATTTTCAAGGTTGAGTCTGAAATAATAATTTCATTATTATTATATTGTTGTTATTATTGTTATTGTTGTTGGTCAGTGTGTTAAGCTTAATATATGCACTCACAATATAATCTTTTATCTATATCAATATCTATATCTGTATCTATAAAGAATTTATTGAATGTTTGCGTTGGTTGCTTGATGGACTGACTGGTTGGTCGAACAAAATGTCATCTGACTAATTATTGATTGGATATGATTGTATTTAAATTGTTGACAAATTGTTGATGACGATCAATCAAATATTTGTTTAAATGACCTCTTAAAATATAAAAGTCTCAAATTCAAAAATATTATCTGTATGTTTGATTGATTCTTTTCCCTTCAACAACAACGTTATTCGTAGTGATAAACAATAATAATAATAATAATAGTAAAATAGTAATAATAGTAATGATAGAAAATATAATGAGAAAAGTAGCATGGATATAACCACATTAAAAACCATCCATTTATCTTAATATTACTGATATCTTTCCGTTTTAGTTTTCTGATGATATTGGTGATAGTGATGATGTTTTGGTTGGTTTATCAATTTGTATCATAATATAATCGATATAAATATATCTGATGGTAATTGGTAAAAACAAAACCAAACATCATTGATCATCATATATAAAATGAATCCATAGTAAAATTATATTCTTTAAATCTGAAAATTAGTTTTCCAACAATTGCAAGAGTAGAGAGTAGAGAATAGGCGTGATGACAGGAATAATAACAGCAGTTAATATAATTTGTACTCTACCTTGATGTTATTATTATTATTGTTGTTTGATCTTTTTTTACACTATATTACACCTGATCTCTCTACTTTACTTAAATAAACTAATCTGCTGATGATTGATTTTTCTATTTAATAATACCAACTAATAATTTATTTATTTAATAAATTCTAAAAAAAGAGTTAATTTTTTTTTTTTTACCTTTTGTTTACCTCAGGCGCCTTTTAGAAAAATTGCAATTAAAATTAAAATAAAAATAAAATAAAATCCATCACACCCAAATAAATTACAAGAACTATTTTTCAAACCACCAAAATCATTTTTCAAAATTTTTTTTTTAAAGGTTACAGCATAATTAAATTCGGACATTCGAATTATTTTTTTGATCAAGTGTTTTATTTATCTCTCAACAATCAATAATTGGTGTCATCCTTGTTCGAACTAGTGAATAATATTTTTCTTTTTATATATCAACTAATGAAGAATATAAATTAGTAAAAGTGTGTTTATCTTTGTGTAAAATCATGATGCTGCAGGACTTATTTTGAATATTTAATGATTTTGGGGAACCAACGACTGACGATAATACGATTTAAGTTTTTATTAAATTTCTTTACATGCATACAATAATAAATAATAAGATTCAATATAAATATATCAAACATTAAAAAAACCAATAAAAAAAAACAATATTCATTTGTTTAAAATATATGAGAAATGAATAATCATTTTAATTTCAACATATAAATTTATTTTATAAGTTCATAGTTTGGTAAAGCTAATAAATAATAAATCTAGTTTTGCTTTTGTATGAGAAGTTAAAAATTACATTAATGTTAAATTAATATAAATGATTTTTTTTTGGTTGCTAAGAAATATTAATAAGAATAAAATAATTAAACAAAAAATTAGATTTTTTTTGTTGTTTTTTTTTATATATTGAAAGATTTTTATTTTTCACTCTCAATTTATAAACCAGTCAAAAGAAAATATAAAAAGAAATATTAATACAGAAATAATAGAAACAATATATATTTTATAGATAAGAAAAATTGTATAAAGTTTTAAGAGTTTATTTTGAAAAAGTAAGATCAAAACTAAAACTGAACCAACCTACCACAACTTCATCACAATATATATTACATATTATCATCATTTTGTGTAAAAGCACATAAGAGTAATTAATTTGAAGTTGATGACACAACAGATAGAATAGAGTTATTTTTTAAAAAAAAAAAACATTAAAAACACAAAAAAAAAAAAAGCATGATCAAACATATTCTCTTTTCAATCAAATCGAATTTATTCTAAATAACAGACGAATTAAACACATTATCATACATAATTGTAGAATATCTTTTGATTTTAAATAAACACAAAGTGTCATCCAGAATTCTAAAATAAAAAAAAAAAAAATCAAAAAAAAATAGCAAAACTCAAAAGAAAATTGAGACAGATTTATAGAGGATTAAGAATTTTTTTACATTAATTTATTCTCAATATAATATATTATTAATCATTATAATCACTTTCATTACTAAATTAATATAATATATTGACTTTTTTTATTATTGTTATAGATTAATTAATTATAATTTATAGTAGTTGTTTTTTTTTTTTTTTTTTGTTTCTGCTGAAAAGAGAGTTTTTGAGTTAGTTTAGAATAGAGGGTCAGAATATAGTATATATAGAGAGAAGAGAAGAGAAGACAGAAAGAGAGAAAGAATTGAAAGATGAGTAACCATCATCATCATCATCATCATAATCATAGTGGTGGTGGAAGTACAAGTAATGGTCATTACATAGAGAAAAAACTGAATGTTGTCTGCAGATATTATAAGAGTGGAAAGTGTCTATCAGGTAAAGCTTGCAAGTTCCTTCATGAGACTGGCGATACTACCGTCAATGGACATGATTCCACAACAGCTACTTCCACCAACAACAACAACAACAATAATAATAATAATAACAATAATGGCAATCATAGTAATGCACCCATTTGTAAATATCATATGAATGGATATTGTAAAACTGGTTCCAAATGTCCATTCCAACATATAGATAGTTCAAATGGAAACAACAACAACAATAATAATAATAATAGCCACACTTCAAATACAACAACAACAAAGAAATCAATTGAAATATCATCAAATCCACCTTCAACAACAACAACAACATCATCATCTGCAATAAATATCAATAATAATAATAATAATATAGTAAATAACACAGTTTCTTCTTCGTCATCACCACAAATATCTGTAGTTAAACACTCACCAAATAGTATTCCAATTTCAACCAACAACAATAACAATAATAGTATTTCACCATTATTACCAATGTCATCAATGCAAGATCAGCATATTAGTAGTTTGTTAGCTGGTAACGGTGGTAGTGGTAGCGGATCGTTAGTTGTGGAGCAGGTAGTACCAACCATTCCAATCAATATCGATTCATCTTTTAAGTCACGTGGAATGTTTATCGATGACAATCAACAGTTTCATAATCACCAACAGCAACAGTTTCACCAATCATCAATGTCGTCCTCTGCCTCTACCAATCATATGATTCAATTCCAATTCGATACTAGTCCACGTGACCACATAGCATCGGCACCGATCTCAACCACACCAAAATCACCTCTGCTCCATCATCACCAACAACAACAACAACAACAACAGCAACATCTCCACCACCAACAACAACATCAACACTCTGGAGTGACAAACATTGCACTTTCACCACAGCAACGCATCAGTAACGCACTTTCATTCTTCCCAAATTCACCACGTACCATCATCTCGTCGTCTCCATCGTCGCCATTCAGTCCACAGTATGGCTCCTCGCACAACGCCACCATACTCTCGAGCTCACCCTCGCCATTCTACCCACTGGGAAGCTTCCAAGATCCATCGGGTGTCGACGATGACGAGCCATCCGACGACGACGATGAAGATCTCATTGACTTTAACGATACCGGATTCAACGTCATCGATGACAACTATGATGACACTGTCTTTGATCCTTTCCAATTCGATCTCACCAAGAAGTTCAATGAACACATAGATCTATCAAATATACATAATAATAATAATAGCAATAATAACCAACAATCATCTAATAATATAGTAAATAGTAACAATCATCATGTATTAAATAATCATCATCACCAACAACAACAACAATCAACAATAACAACAACACCAACAACAAATAATATTAATATACTGTTAAATAATAATAATAATAACCAACAATCATCACTACCTATTTATATACAAAATAATAATAATAATAATAATAACTTTAATAATATAAATGATAATAATAGTCCAAATAATAATGATATAATAATAGTAAATAATAATAGTAATAATAGCTTTAATAATAGAAATAATGATTTAGTTTTACAACAACAACATGATAATTATAGTGAGTTAGCAAATACAACAACAACATCATCATCAAATTCGACATCGTCATCATCATCACCAAACAAAGATTCAACTTTTAATCAAGAAGAAAAGAAACCTTTATCCTATTTAGAAGCATTGAAATCAAATCTACAACTTCCACCAGATTATTATATTACTTATGAAAATCAACCAAAAATAATAGATCAATCAGCTACAAAAACAGAGGTAACCTTTTTTACTTTTTTGCTTTTTAAACATGTTATACCAAAGTATTACATTCAAAACTTATAAACTTATTATTTATTATTTATAGGCACTATGTCATTTCTTTGTACAAGGAAGTTGCAGAAATGGTGATAATTGTAAATACATTCACGGTGAGAAATGTCAGTTCTGTGAGAAACCAATGTTGGTGCCAAACAATCACTCTCAGAACAAAGAACACATGACAGAGTGCATGATCATACAGGAGCGTGCAAAAGAACGTGCCAAGATTAAGAATCTCGAGTGTGGCATCTGCTTTGACTCTATCGTCGATAAGAACCGTCGATTCGGTCTGCTATCTCATTGCAATCACGTTTTCTGTCTCGATTGCATTCGTGAGTGGCGTGGATCCACCACCGGTCCCAACGGCCAGATCATCACGCCCGTCCACAGCAACAGCACTACATCGGTGCGTCTCTGTCCGATGTGTCGTGTCAACAGCTACTTTATCATACCGAGCGATATCTATGTGTCGCACGAGAAGAAACAAGAGATCATTGAGATCTACCGTGCCAAGCTCGGCACCATTCCCTGCAAGTACTTTAACCACGGCAAAGGCACTTGCAAATTCGGAACCAGTTGTATGTATGCTCATTTGAATCCCGATGGATCTGTGCATCGTCCTCAGGTTCGCAAGGTTCAGGCGTCGTATGGCGACACCACTTTGCACTCCAACCAGCTTGGTATGTTCTTGGCACCACTCATTCAACAGCAACAACTCCAACAGCAACAACAACAGCGTAGTAGAAAGATCATGTCATCCAACTACCAAGAAGATTATGAATCATATGATGATGAAGAATATGACAATTATGATGAACAAGAAGAAGATGATGAAGATTATGATGATGAAAGAGATAATGAGTAAAAAATTTAATTCTCACAAACAATATATATAAAAATAACATCAAATCTTAACCAAAACAACTAAAAAAAACAAACAAACAAACAATCAAACAAACAAAAAACTACCTAACTAGATCAAAAACTAAAAA